AGGGGAGAAAATATTTGCAAGCTATTCATCCAACAAGGGATTAATATGCAGGATATAAGAGGAACTCAAACAATTCAGCAGTAAAAAATTAAATAAGTTGATTCAAAAAGCAGGCAAATAATCTGAATAGACATTTTTTTTTCAAAAGAAGACATAAAATAGCAAACAAGTATGTGAAAAACATTCAACATCACTAATTATCAGGAAAATTCAAATTAAAGCTATGAGATACTGCCTTATACCTATACTTGTTAGAATGAAAATTGTCAAAAAGATGAAAGATAAAAGTATTGACGAGGATGTGGAGAAAAGAGAATCTTTGCACACTGTGAAAATGTAAGTTAGCACAAAAATTTGGAAAACAGGATGTTCTTAAAAACCAAAAATAGAATCACTATATAATCCAGCAGTCACACTCCTGGGTAGACTACACATCTGAAGGAAATGCAATCAGTATTTCAAAGAGACACATACACATGCATATCCATTGCAACATTATTCAAAATAGTCAAGATATGGAAACAACCTAAGTACTCATTAACAGAAGAATGGATAGATAAAATGTGGTGTGTATACACAATGGAATAGTATTCAGCATTTAAAGAGAAGCAAATTCTGTCCATTGCAACAACATGAAGGAATCTACAGAATATTTTCCTTAGTGAAAGAAGTCAGGCACAGAAAAACAAAAATGAATCTCACAAGTGTAATATAAAAATGTCAAATTTATAGAAGTAGAGTTTGTGGAATGGTGGTCTGAGAGGTATTGCACTAAATAGTAACTATCATTAATAATAATGTGATGTATATTTTAATATTGATAAAAGAGTAGATTCTAATTGTTCTCACTACAACAAAATCATCAGTATGTGAATTAATGTACACATAAATTAGCCTACTTTAATCATTCCACAATGCAATACTTTCATGATTAATATTGTATCCCATAAATATATACTGTTTGTCAACCAAAAATAAAATTAATTTTTTAAAGAGAGAATTTTTTAATATTTATTTTTTAGTTTTCGGCGGACACAACATCTTTGTTTGTATGTGGTGCTGAGGATCGAACCGGAGCCACACACATGCCAAGCGAGCACGCTACTGCTTGAGCCACATCCCCAGCCCATAAAATTAATTTTTAAAGAAGAATAAATTGCATTGCTTAACAAAAAGGAGTATACATCTCAAACTGTCTGATAACCAATTTGGTCATACATATTAATATTTATAAAAGTACCACCCACTAATGCTCTGCTTCTATTATAGGAGCATCTAAGTAGACAAAAGATACCACTATATCAGAGGAGAAGTACTATATTTCAGCAACAAGTCAGTTCTCATAGCAGAGAAGGACACACCAGGATCTCTTACTTTGTCAGTATCAGCATCTATCTAAATTGGCTAAGTTCCCTGAGCACTAAGGAAAAAGCCTTCTATGACAATTTGGATTCTGATGTAAATGGATCTTAGGGAGGGAATGTTCTAAAAACCAAACACTAAGAATCTGATCTGCTTGATAAATCTATTTCTTACAGAACCATAAATCATCATCAATAAGAAACCCCATTTCACTTGATAGCATGTTATGTCCTCCAGAAGCTTAGAAAGGCTCAATAATTGAGGAGGCTCTGTGGCAAACAAAGCCCCTCCTGTAACAGCTCCTCTCACTTTTTAAGATGTTAATGGTCACCAGGGTCAGAGAGTGACACTTAGCCCACTCTCAATGAGAAGTGGAATTACATTTGCATGAATCTGTCAGGATAAAGGCATCTCTGCAGTAGGTCTTCCTTCTCTCCCTTCCCCTCTACCTCCTATTCCTCTCCTCAAACACACACATTGCCCCAAGCCCTTAACACAAGGCCTGAGAAGGCCCCAATGCAGAAGGTGAAGCATGGAGGTACACTACTCTGTAAAGTCAATATCCCTTATCCTTCTTATACCACAACCTCAGGCAAAGCACGCCAGGACTCCATAAAAGCCCAGAGACAGCTCTAGGTAAAAGGTAAGGAGAGTCAGAGTTTAAGCACAGAAAACCTGCAGCCTGGGATGTAATGTAAACTTAATGCAAAAAGCTAGCAATGAAAATAGTCATTATCACTATTTTAAAAGCCATTCTCAAGGGAACAAAGCAAAACCAAAGAGAGTCATACATATAAAATTTGCCTGAATCACATCAATTTGCCAAACCTACACTTGGAATCTCTTTTGAAACAAGGCAGGTAAAATATGAACATTCAAAAAAGACAGTCTGTTTCCTGAGCCTTGAAATATTATTATTTGGATTACAATTTATAACGAACAGAAATACATCCTTGTAAAATTGCCTTTGGACATATTTTGGACTGAAATAGACCCTCGAACTGCTAGATGAGAAGAAACCAAAATAGCAGGATATGCACTGAGCTTCCAGTATTGTCTGGTAAAGCTGGGGCGGGGGGGCGGGCACTGCCTCTTCCCTGTCCCCATGAGCTGCCACAATCACAGTCACAATTCTAGAACTCTGTCCTTCCCAAAATAATTGAGTGACAACCTCCTAAGTGAAACATTAGGACAACTGGGTGTCCTGCCCCACATCCCTTTCACCCAGCACTTTCCCAAAGAGCAAGTTTCTTAGTCTAGATCATAGTAGGCATGGGACAGCAAAAGTACATGCAAACCACTGAGAGGGCTACCAAACTAAGACTAGTTCCTTCTCAGTCTCTGTTCTGTTCAACAAGGGTTCCAAAAGTCTTGGCATCCAGTCACACCCAGGGTCACCTTATGAAATGACAATTATTATTCTCTATTAAATGCCCCCTGGCACATGGCATGGTGCCATGGAAATTAAGTGGTCACCCCAAAAGACACAGAAGCACAGAGAGAATACCAACAACTGTCTCCCAGGAGGAGGAAACACAGAGAAAACAAGGGAGAGAGAGCAAAGAAGAACGAAAAGGAACATGGAGGGAGAGAAAAGGAGTAGATTGACAAACTCAGGCATGTGCCTGTCACACTGTGGCTTTCTATTCCACGAATTAACCTCCCCTTCACCCCTAGCAAAAACTTGGTGCCTCAAGTTCAATAAGGATTGATCTGAATATTTTTCAGGCATTCAAGCTATATATTGGTTAGGAGACAGTTTGCACTCATTGTGTCTATGTTCTCAAGCATCACCAATGAATATTTATTTTTTATATGAAAAAATTTAAATCAGGACCAGAAATTTTACGTACAGTAAAACCAATTTTATGTAAAGAATATATAAGTCTTTGGATAATAAAAGTATGTGAAAGGTTATACATTGTTTTAATTCTGCTCCTCTCTCCAGTTATCACAGCCCCTTACACAGTTCTTTTTGCAGCCTTCTGCTCTTTGTACCTTCTCTATGGGGGATCCTATCTACTCCATGTTCCCAATTATCACCTCTCTCTAATGATTCTCAAATACTAAATTGCAACCCATTCTTCTCCTCTGAAAGCCAGATCAACACATTCAAATTAAAATATGGCATCTTTATCTGAATGTCACTCAGATACTTCAAACTCAATTTATCTAAAATGGCTTCTCTACTGGCCCCAATCTTTTCCTCTCATATAATAATTGTACCATGGAGCTGGGTGTATGGTGATGCAAGCCTATAATCTCAGTGGCTCAGAGGCTGAGGTAGGAGGATCACAATTTCAAAGCCAGCCTTGGCAACTTAGGGAAGCCCTAAGCAAATTAGCATGACCCTGTCTCAAAACAGAAATTTTTTATAATTATTATTTTTTTAAAAAGTAGCTGAGGATGTGGCTTCGTAATTAAGTGCTCCTGTGTTGAAAAACAAGCAAACAAACAATAGGAGCTAGAAAAGTGTTCATTCCCTTTTCCCTTACCCCACCCTTAAAACTGGTATCAAGAGACGCCATATGTATGTGATTTGGTGGGGTCACCATATCCAACAATTTTAAGCCAACTAGTCCCTGGTCCTTTCATCTACTATAGACATTAGAGTGCACATATGGAAACCTGGAGCTAAAACTGGATCACAACCAAAGAATTTCACCCTTTCCTGGTCTCATATATAAAGCAGCATAGTATCCCCAAGCCAACTAGGAATATATTATGGAGGCTGGTGAAATCATGTCTGAGGAAACACCTTGAGTCCTTAGAAAAAAGCAAAAACTTTTTTCCTTTGAGAAGTTATTTTAACAGTTGCCTTGCATGAATGACAGAACTCTACACAGTAATCACTTAATAAATGTTAACCTTTATTGTTATTGTTTATTAAATGACACTGAAACATGGCAGAATGCCCCAGCAAAGCAAAGGTCAACCAAAAACTATCAGTCCTGCATGTTAGGTACTTAAGGGTACTCACTTTTCTTAACTGCTATGTGCCAGAATAGTGTAGGTACTTAGCATATATTATTACTTCATTTAATCCTCATGATAAGCCTCATTTTCACCACTCATCTATCATTTTGGAAAGGAAACTTCAACCAATCACATTTTCAGTCTAAATCATTTGCACACTCAGTACACATTCAAATCAATCGCCTGCTTCATTCCCAATACTTTCCTTTTTTCCAAAAATTTCCTAAAAATTAATATTCATTTTATTTAAAAAAGAATAGATGAATAAAAAGTAAAAAAAGTAAAGATCACTCATTATCCTTCCACCCAAAGATAACTATTGTTACTATTTGGAAATATACGATTCCAGAGATTTTAGTGTGTTTTTAAAACATGATTTAATATCTCCCTCACCCCAGCAAAATGGAATGAATACTGCTATCTAACTTATCTTTCTCACTTAACAATGAATGATGAATATCTTTTCTGGAAAAATAGTATTCCACTAGCATATTTATCATATCCTACTGGGTGACCATTCCTTAATTTATTTGAAGAATCCAGTGTGACAGACATGTTGTCTCCAATTTTTACTACCTTAAACAGTGTTGAAATGAACATCCTTATACATGTAATCTTTGGACAATTATTCAATCACTAACTTTGGATAAATGGTTTACATATTTTAAGGCTTATGATATGAATTAGCAAACTGCCACCACTAGGATTTGTTAGGGTCCGTTTTGCCACACCCTCACTGACACTGCACAGGAGAGAGGGGTTCATTTATGTGGATTCCAATATTTTTTTAGCCAAAAATATTTAGTGACTCTCAGCGTCCAGTGAGACAAAATTGAAACAGCTTTCTACAACTGTCTTCACCTAACTTTCCTCATTTATTCACTCCTATTGCCCATGCTGTCCACTGCAAGCAGGCTGCTCTCAGACTATCATAGGAAGAAGGTTCCTACCTTAATGCCTTTCTCACACCATTCTCTCCTGGATTCTGTAACATCCTAACCACCATACCCTATCCAGGGCTCATTTACAAATCCATCTCCTCCATGAAACTTTAGCTGACTGGCATATCCCACAGAATCCTTTGCCTCCTCTGTGCTCTGAGGGCACACATCTGACAATGAGTGTCTGCTCTGGATATCCTCAGTTATCTTTTGGTTTGTATGTTTCTTATCTCTCCAACTAGATTATAAACCAAAGGACAAGAATCATTTCTTTCTTTCTTCTTTCTTTTTTCTTTCCAGCATTAACACATAACTTTATTGATGATACACAAATGAAATCATTGCAAATGACCAAAAGGAGCTTACTCATGACGAATTGGTTCACTGTCACTTACGTAGAGGAAATAGTAAAAAATACTTCAATCTAGGCAGCGAGATAAAAAGCAACAAACATGTTTTCAGAACAAGTAGTGATATTCATTTATCCAGCTTAAACCTGAAGACCAACTTGGTTAAATATCAGCATTGATGATACAATATGGTATTCATTAAAATTGGCAGCTGAAAGGATTCCTTTACCATATAAACAAGGTGGAGAAAAGGAATAGTTTACAATGTGTGTTGCTTCTAAACTACAAAGTCAAGAAATTATTCCTGGCTCTTTGGGAACATATGCTCAGTCAGTTTAGCCATGAATTTTCCAACTTTTACTTTCACCAAAAAATCATGATGGCTTTCTATTCCCAGAACCTTATCAGCACACACTTGAAATTCTTTTAAAAAGAAAAATAGTGACCCTTCACCGAATTGAATCTGAGTAGATTCATTTTCTTCCCATTTAAAATTGTCATTTACATTCTCAAGAATGACCAGAAGTTTAAGAATAACCTCTTTGTTCTCTTTCTTATTAAAGAGGGAACCCAGTGAAGATGGCACTTGGGCCCTGAGCAATTCTCTAGTCATAGCTGGATTTTCAGCCAAATTCAAAAGGAGTTTCAAAACCTGAAGTTTAGTTTCTTCATTTCCCGCTGAAAATAAACGGAAAAAATCCGAAATGGAATTAGCAAGCATGTGCTGATACTCATTAGTAACAGTCATATTCGTAAGCAATCTTAGTCCAGCCAGCTGTACAGATGAGTTCAAGCGAGAAGTGATTGTGTCATCACACACTTGATTCATGTATATCTTAAGCCTGCGCTGATTTTCAGTATTCACACTCAAGTTATTTAGGACAATTAAAGCCTTTTCCTTAACGATGGGATCCCGAGTATTAAGAATCTTTGCAACAATTGGGAGACCACCCAGATCACGAATAATATCTCTGTTAAATGCATAAGCAGCATTGTTACCCAGAGCAATTAAAGCTGCTTCAAGAATATAAGGCTTTTCAGACATCTCAACCAAACAAAGAACTTTTTGTAGCTCTTGAGGGGACAAAACAGTATCATCTGAATTAGGGGAAGCCCGTTTCTGGACAGCTCGACGTGCTCGGGTAGCCCTGGCCCTTGCCCTGGCTCTAGCTCTGGTTCCAGCCTCTGTCCCAATCCGGGCCCAAGGTGGGTACCACACTATACTCTTGCTCTCATTACTATCATCATCATCATCAGACCAGTCATTATACCTGGCCCCAGAACAGTCCCCAGAATCATCCACATCCCCAGAGCCACCCTCTGCCATTTTCTCCTTGCTCTGTTTTCTTCCCCGGGTCAGTCTATAAATGCAATAGCAGGCGCCAGCCCCAATCACCAGGCCTGCAGTCACCCAGCCTACTTTCCTGGCGTAGCCCATGCAATCGTCCCTGACAACAGCAGGGACCAAGGAACAGAGTAGTCACTCAGGGTAGGGAAAGAGGGTTGTGGGCCTGAAAGTAGGTCTGTAGAGGGTGATCTTCCGTCTCTTCAAGACCACAATACTGATTCTGGAGGTGGACCTGGAGGTGGAAGAAAGAAACAGAGTTTCAATTTCTCTTCTCTTTTTGTTGTCCCATGCAAAAAGTTGCACAGAGGAACAGAAGAATGGCAATTGAATGCTCGGTAGGGAATATAGATCATTGACAAAATCTCTACCCACCTCATTATACTGTCTCCCTAGCCCCTGCCAGCCCACCCTACCCCAAGTGTAGATAAAGGCAATGAGTCCACAGATTCGGCTGGGGTGTCAGTCACCACAATCTCTGGTATCTCCAGGAAGTAGCACCCTTGAACTAACCTCTTTGAAATAGGCAGTTTGCTTCTTTTTCTCTTGGCTGGGGGTGTGTGCCACGCCCAATAATCTTTCAATCTGCGGAGAGACCAGAGCCAGTAAGAAACGAAGGCTTGAAGGATTGTGCATTTGTCGCTTTCCTAAATCACCATCCAGGTTACCAGATATTTTTTAACGTCACTATGCTATCCAAAACATGAAAATGCCTCCCCCTCCCTAGCTTAAAACGCAGGGATGTAAGAAAAATAAAGTAGAATTGGGTGAGCCTGTCCAAGCCGCGGCAGATTTCCAACCCCTCCCCCATTCCAGACAGCCCCCACGCCCACACCGACCTCTACCGATCCTGGGAAACTTCCTCCCTAGCTTCAAACGGTGCCACCTGCTACAGCAGACCTGCAGGATGACAGATCGAAAACATGGGGACTAAGTGCTGTTGAGAGAGAAGGATTATGAGCAAACTACAGGATAGGTTTCCTTGCTGTCATTTCCCCCTTTCCCCCTCCCTCCCGCGCGCACACACACACACACACACACACACGCACATACACACACACACACACACACACACACACACACACACGCAGCGCACGCCATTTCGCCACAGTCCGGGGAGTGTGAGAAACACATTCAGACTCAGACCTGAACCTAGATTACCTTCTCTGGTTTTCCCCCACCTTCACCCCCGCCCCTCCTAAGGTTCACAGATGATCTTACCCTCAAATCGACCTTCACCGATCAGGGTTAATTTCCTTCCTCTTCTCTTGTCTGGCGTTGTGCCGTAACCTACGGAAAGACTGGCCACCCAGGAGAGGCTCGGACCCACTAGACACAGTGCGGTGGTCAGGAAGACACAGCTACAGGCAGAAAGACGGGAAACAGCCGTTACTGAGTGCTTGGTGGACGGACCAGTCCCCAGAGAATGAAACTCTCTTAATTCGGAGGCCTGGTTGTGCGAGGCTTTCCAACCCCGTTACCCCTCTCGGGATTCTGCTGACACATCTCGTTGCACCCCACTACTCCCGCCCCCCATGCCCAGCCTTTCCCCTCCAGCACTGTCCTGGTGGACCCGGGGGCAACACCCAGGCCAGAGCTCCCTTTCCGGATTGCGGGCCTTGCCTCCCAGCAGATTCATATCTCCCTGTTTCTGGGCTCTTCCCAAACACCCCTCTGCTCACCGTTTCACAGCATCGAAATGGGCCGCAGGCGGGACATATGTCTGAGAGAGCGGGCGGCGAGTGGGAGACACGACGGAGGAGCCTCAGGACCTGCGACGGTCTCCGCCCTACGCCCTCCACCACCCCCACTTTATGGAATCTACCAGGCACTGACCTGCAAGAATCCGGGACAATTTCCTTCTCCTCCTCTTTCTTCCCTCTGCCTCTGGCCCGCCCGCCCTCAGGGCAATGGGGAGCTGGTACTCAGACGGGAACAACGACCAGGACAAGAAGGACTTCTGCACACGTCAGCTCTTGGTCACGTGAGAGCTACGTCATCCACCAACTCGGGCCCCCAATTTCCCCTCCCACCAGCAGTGCGGCAGAAGAGGGCCCGCCCCCCACTATTCCCTCCCCCATACTAGGCCTTGTTACTCTTTCTTCTCCACTAAATCCCATCTCTCTCTAGTTGTGTTTCCCTTCCTCAGATTATCAAAAAGGGACAGCATCTTCCCCTGGGACTACTGGCCACTTGTGCTTTTTTGAAAAATTTACTCTTCCTTCCCTAAGCTCCTGGGACTGCAGCCTCTCCCTCAACCTCCCCTCCTCCCAGCTATTAATGTCTACCATTTCCTCTGAAATCTAGTCCTAGATCTGAAATGAACAAGCATCAGAAAAGGAAGCCTGGAGTGAAAGTGTGGCTTTTACTTTCTTAATGCTTTGTTATTTTTGTTCTGCCCTTACCCACCTCCAGTCCGCCTTCTTTTATGAGGAAAAAATACTACAAAGCTATTTTCATTTTAGGAAAAATGAAGAGAGTGGAGGTGGGAGAGTGATGTCAAGTGATGGCCTCTAAGTCTCACATTTCTCACTTGGTGGAGAGTGTTAACCACTTCATTCAAAGTAATCTTAATGTCTTTGGGGCCTTAGCACGTAACACAAACCTGGATGAATCTGAATGAGCTAATAAGTGTGTCTGAGAATATGTAAATCTTTGATTAGGCCAATCTCTGAATAGAAGAACAACAGACTTCACTTGCATAAATTAGCGAGGAGGAAGCTTTGAGCTCTCAGAAGCCAGTAACAAAAGATTGAGGAGAAAACAAATCTGTGTACCCACTATCTGTAAGATAAGAAGGCATGTACACTGACAAAGTGAATGATATACAAAGAACATTACAAAATATACTTGATAACAGAGAATATCTATAAACAAAATAGCTATTAGAGGAACCAAGACAAAGTTGGCTGTACTTGGCATCTAGTACTCAGTGTGAAACCATTTCACTGGTTTGATGAGCTCAATAATTCACTTGGGATTGAACTTTTCACAAATAGGCAAAGGAATAAAATAATTACATTCTCTCATTGTTAAGTTAAGTAGGTTTCGTTTCAGTTGCTTGCAACCCAACAAACTTAACGAATACAGAGCACAAAAACAAATAATACAGTACAAAAAGTAACAGCTTTTCTGAACACAAGATCCTTAGTGAAATGTTTCTTAATAGCTTGTGTGTAAGGTTGTCATCTGAGTATGACTTTAAAATCCACAGACAATATGGAAGTCAATCAAGAGACTGGGGAGTTTAGGAACAAGCAAACCTCCAGTAAAATTCATATGTATATAAATTATGGGAAGCAGTACTGAGACATGATTGAAATTTAGTAAACAGAAGCCAGATCAACAATATGATTCTGAATTTAGAGAAAGATCATGTGCAGCAAAGGGGCTCATTCAACCACAGGATTATGAAAAGGAGAGTCAGAGGAAAGTGTTCCCACCCAGCACTGTCTGGAGGAGAAGGAGTGTTGGCTAAAATGAATAGAATGTTTAGCTTTTCTTGGCAGAATCATCCCCATAATGTGTAAGAATACTTCAAGATCTCTTAGCAGAAAGCCACTTCTTAAGGTGAATGAATGTCCCTGCTCTGATTGTAGGTTCACCAAGCAACCTTCTGGGGTTGTGGCCTCCCAAGTAGTAGCTTGTCTACAGAGAGAAAATGGGCATGTAAGAATGACAGAAACCTCTAGTACCCGTGACAGTTGTATTTCTCAAGAAAAATTAGTTTCCCTTGTGGCCTACTTAACAGGAAAAGAATGCAGAGACCCATGGGTTTGAGCATTCAGATCTAGATTTATATATGTCTCTATAAATGAGAGTCTTTCCTTGACAAAGGCATCTGCTTTCAGTGTGCAGACAGAATCAGGATTGGCTCATACAGTGCTGAGGACAAGACCCTGAACTGTACATGCAACCTTGTAGAATCCTGTCAGGGAAGCCAGGTGGCCTTGGCTCAAAGGACAACATATGCATTGCCATTTTAAAACTGTACTTTTCTAAAGTTTAGTTAATGTGGAAGTCACAACTAAGACATGCTATAGCAGACAGGCCCCCAGCATCTCAGCCATAGCTAGACAAAAGGTTAATATCCAAAAGAGTGAAAGGGCTTCTACAAATCAACAACAATATTTGAAACAATTTACATTTCTCTCTGGAAAAGAAAGGAAATGCATTTTACATTTTACATACCCTACATTTCCCTAGCAAACGGATGCACTCTGTGACTAAAACAGACCAAACTAAAATATGAATCTTGAGCAGAGAGATAAAAACCTGAAAATTTATGGATTTATGGTATCCTGAAAATATCGTCTAGCATTCTCCTTTCTTTTTTAAAATTTTTTTATTTGTTCTTTTTAGTTATATATGACAGAATACATACATGGTGTATATATCAAACATATATGGAGTATAATTTCCCATTTTGTGTTTGTACATGATGTGGAGTTACACTGGTTGTGTATTCCTATATGAACATAGGAAAGTTATGTCAGATTCACTCTACTGTCTTTCCCATTCCCATCTCCCCTCCCACATTTCCTCCTATCTCTACCCATCAGAGTTGACTGTAGTCTTCAGCCTTCCCTTCTTATATTTTACTTGAAATCACACTACCTTAACTAAGAGATAATACAAAAAGAAATATATTTTTTCAAGGTAATGACGTTCTAGAGGTTTGTTGTTGTTGTTGTTTCACCCTCTACGATTCCATTTAATGTTACCATGCAGTGATCCATTTTTTTGTTATTGCTTTCAGGTACTTTGTAAGTTATATATCACATGTGGCCACACACTGACATAAGCCAAAATGTTTCTTTTGGCAGTGACATCACAGAGTCTTTTGCTGGTTCAAGAACTTTTAACAGGCATATCCTGAGGATTCACTTAAGCATTTTCCTATTTTGCTTTTAAGATGGAATGTCAGGCACATGACATGTCTTTAAATATACCGATGTTGGTGAGATTATAATGAAGACCATGTTAATTTTTAAATACTAGTCCCCAGATTCCATTGTAGGAATTCTGGATTGAAGTGACAAAGAAGTAAAAGAATTGAAAGGGTTATAATATCCATGGGGATTTAGAGAGGGAATGGATTCAAATCATGAAAGGTCTGAAAGAGAATGGTGGTGTTGGGTAATACACTGGAATAATTGGAGGATACACCAAAGCCAGGAGAGGTAGGAGTGAAGTTTTGTCCTTGAAGCCAGGCTAAATGTTGCGAAAATGAATCTGTGTTACAGAACCATGTGTAGGACAGACACCAAGGCATCCATGTTTGTTAAACTTTACATATGCCTTAACTGTTTCTAATATATACATTTAAAAAAAAACAAAAGTCACTTGTGTAGGTACTCGCAGCCAAAAACTGATGGGAAGTTGAATCTAAGTATTCTGCTTGTAAAGTTTCAGAAATAGAATTCACTCGTTTTCGAGAAATAAAGTGTCACAAAAGAACAGTGTCAGGGGATGATGTTGAAACAAATGAGGTAGAGATTTAGAGAGATGGGAGTATAATATTAGTGAGGAGTTTGGACTATAAACATTTGGGGAAGATGGGGAAGACAGGAAAGTCAGGACATGTTCCTAACTTCTAATATTTGCCAGCAAGGCATTATGAGCTCCCTGGCTCACCTCCCAAAAGGGCCTCTTGCACACCAGGCCCTCCAGCTGGGGTGTCATATTTCAACATTCTAAGAGGCTGCCTGGAGGGTCTATATTTAGAGTATGACTCTCCAGTAGAGACAGGTGGGTATCCAAGGACTAACTTCTACATACTTTGTCCCTGAGTTTGGGGATTATTCTGAGGGTCTTGGGCAGGTGGTACAGTGAAGTTGTTACAAGGCAAGGAGTGAAAAGACCTTTCTCCTGGCCACTGTTTAGGATCCGATACTTTATCCTTAAATTTGTGAGGGGGAAAATGGCATGGGCAGCTGGGGTGCCGCAGTGATTCAGTCTTCCACAGATCCTCACCACCATTGCCAGTGGAGAATGATAAACACTGGTCTATTCTGTGGTGACAATATATGGATGACAGATCCCAGAGACATCTCACTACTGTCATGATGGAATGAAAATTCCACCTGTTAAGTCTCATTTTTATCAATGGGATAATTCTCTAATTTCTGAATGATTTATGGGTTACATCATGAAATTTCAGAATAGATTTTTTTTTAAAAGAGAGAGAGAGAGAGAGAGAGAGAGAGAGAGAGAGAGAGAGAGAGATTTTTTTTAATATTTATTTTTTATTTCTCGGCGGACACAACATCTTTGTTGGTATGTGGTACTGAGGATCGAACCCGGGCCGCACGCACGTCGGGCGAGCGCGTTACCGCTGAGCCACATCTCCAGCCCCTCAGAATAGATTTTAAACAATGTCCTTTAAATGAAAAGCAGGCTAATCTGTGAAGTTACTGATTTGTAAAGTTCATCTGAAGTTATAAAATTTGCCTAAAGTTGGGGTCTTTATAAAAGCTGTCCTTTGAAGCCATAGTGAAAGTTATTCAGCAGCCTTCTACAAGATCTCAAGAGCCTGACATCTAATAATATGAATTCAGCCAGGAGGAAGATATGGATGGTGGTTCACTCATCTAAAATGGTCACAATCAGAACACTGACCTTCTCATTCATTTATTTGTCAATTTATAAATCATACTGAAAGCCCTGGAGACTGGTCTCATTTGTAAAGATGTGTTTTTAAACTTTAATATGGTGTTTTAAAGCTATAATTTAGAAGAAAATACTTTCAATGTAGAACAAATTAACTTTGCCAATTCAATGAGGACCTCTTCTTAACTGGAAAATCTTGCCTATGTTACATATCTTTAAAAATAAGATTATGATTGTTTTTTTTTTCTGCAAATGGAAATAGCTTTATTGTATGTTCTTATTAAAAAACAGCATAGCATGATTCAATTATAAAAGGAGGGACAATACAGAACATAAATGGATCAAAATATTAATAAAAACCTCACTACTACCTGGGCTTCTTGTATTGCTCTTCCTCAGCCAATTTTGATGCAGAGACTGAACACAGAAAGGAATAGAAATTAAGGAAGGCGTTGCGGGAGTTTCACAGCCAAGGAAAGGATGACACAATTCTCCAAGAAGTGTAAGGAAGGGCAGGGAAGACCCAGAAAAGAGGCTGCCCCTAACTGTACAGAAAGTCAAAATCAAACACCAGAGAGATGGGGTCACTTCTGGTTTCTGGAGTTTTTATAGAGGGCCCAGTCTGATGGGGGGAGGTACGGGGCAGGCTGGCGCCTGCCGCACTGCTTGTGGGAGTGGAAATTGGGGGCCAGAGCTCGCTGGTGACGTGGCTGTCACGTGACTAAGAGCCGCCTAGAGCAGAAGTCCTGCTAGTCGCCTCAGTCTGGGTACCAACCCCCTATTACTCTGCAGGCGTTTGAAGGAAGAAGGAAACTAGCTTGGACCGTGAAGGTTGGTGCGAGGGTTGGCGCTGCTTGGAAGGAGATGGGGGTGGGAGAAGATCGAGAGCTCTGCGGGTCCAAGTTCGGGCTGATGGAGGCTGTGCCCCTTTCTCGCTTACTTTTTAAATGCCTTTCCCCACCCCCATCCCCACCCCACCCCGTGCTCATTTTACTCAAGAGAAGTGGCGGGCTTCGGGTGGGGGTGAGGGGAGTGAACGGCGGATACGGAGAATCCAAAGAAAGAACGGTTCCACAATCCGGGCACCACGTCCCGGTGCTGGTCCGTCCACCAAGTACTCCGTCCCCTCGGTCCCCTGTCTTTTTTCGGGTCTGTAGCTTGCAGCGCAAGTATTGGCGAGAGAAGGAGCAAACTGCTTTGGTGGGAACCTTGCTGGGCGGTGTGAAGGTGGGGGATTAGCCCGGGACCGCGGATGGGGGTGCTGGAGGAAAGGGGCTGGGATCCTTGCGGGCCGGGTCCGAGTCGCCCTCTCCTGGCCCCGTCTTTCTCCACACCCCCTCCCATTTCAGTGCAGGGAAAGGGGTGTGGCGGCCTTTGCTGGGGAAATGGCGGATGATGAGGGGGGCGGGGAAGTCCTTGTTAAGAAAGTCAGAAGGGTGTGAGAAATATTTTAAACTTAAAGGCCCAAAATTCAGAAAAGCGGATATTGGGACCTGTGTGCTCAGTGCAGATTCGTTCGCTACACTTTCAGTTCTCTATTGCCACCTACCTGTCTTTCTATTTGTCCTTCTGCCAGACTCTATTCACCTATCACTGAGGAGGGGACACTGACAAAAGAAGACCGAGAAGAAGAAGGAATTTGTCTGACTTTGGTAGAGGTTGGTTAGAAAACTGCTTGTGAAATTTTGGGGGTGAAGATTTATGTGGTGAAGGAGGAAACTACCTGAGAGTTAGATCTTCTTGCCACCCTCCTAGTTATCATAACCAGAGCCCCATCTCTCACCTTTCTGTGAGGATCCTAAAAGAGAAATGGTGTGTCCTGAGGGTAGATGGGGGGAAACAGAAAAGAACAAGGAAATAGTTCCTAATACCCAACTTTCTCAACAAGGACTCAAACTCAAATCTGCCTGTCTGGAGAGATACAAACCCAGGCACAGCCCAAAACCCTAAAATATGCTTTCTCACCCACAGATTCATCACAAGAGCTATAGGAGCCGAGGTCAGGCTGAAGATTACTACCCTGCACTATCTGCACCGTGGCCCTAAAAGTCCTCTTCTATCAGGGGGACCAAAGCCCTCCGGATCCTGCCCCAAGACTGGCACAGACTGAAACATGGGCCGGGCCCGGGAAATGGGTTGGATGGCAGCAGGACTAATGATTGGAGCTGGTGCCTGCTACTGTGTTTACAAACTAACCATAGGAAGAGACGACAGTGACAAATTGGAGGAGGAGGACGAAGAAGAATGGGATGATGACCAGGAGCTGGATGAAGAGGAGCCCGAAATTTGGTTTGATTTCACAACAATGGCTCGCCCTTGGAGTGAGGATGAGGATTGGACTGAACCTGGGGCCCCAGGTGGCACAGAGGACAGGCACTCAGGGGGTGGCAAGGCCAACAGAGCACACCCAATAAAACAACGGCCATTCCCATATGAACATAAAAATACGTGGAGTGCACAAACCTTTAAAAATGTCAGTTGTATTCTTGACCTCTCCAAGTGTCCTTCTATTCAGGGAAAAAAGTTGTTTGCTGAGCCCAAGGATGCTGTTTTTTCACTTAGCCACAATATCAGGAGTCATTTGGCCAACCTTTCCATCTGTGGAAACACACTCCCCACCCCCCACCCCACTGTGAGGGAGGAAGCTTTGTGTGCCCCAGGTAACTTGAATGCCAGTACTGAAAATCAGGGCCAGATTAAGATGTTCATCAATGAAGTGTGTCAGGAGACTGTGCCACGTAGCTGCAACTCATTTCTGCAGCAGGCCGGATTAAATTTGTTAATAAGCATGACAGTTATTAATAACATGCTTGCCAAGTCCGTTTCAGACTTGAAGTTTCCTTTGATACCCGAAAGAAGTGGCTGTGCTAAGGTTCAGGTTTTAGAACCGCTGATGGGTTTGTCTGAAAAGCCACTCTTGGCAGGGGAGTTGCTGGGTGTCCAGATGCTGTTCTCATTCATGTCCCTCTTTATCAGAAGTGCAAACAGAGAGGTTCTCCTGGAAACCCTCACCCCTTAAATAGCCTTCTGGGACAGAATGGGACTGACTCCACACAAACCCTGCTAGGTTTGCAGATGCCAAAGAATCTGCAGTGGGTGCTACTGAGGATCCAGCCTTAGGCAGTCACCCCATCGCCGGGGGTCACTGGGGCTGGGTGCACGTTCCAGAAGCTAGACTGAAGACCACACTCTTTTTGGCCAGGCAGGGCTCCCCCGCAGAGCTTTGGGTAATTCCCTGATTTTGCAGTCTGCAGGCATTGTGCATTGTAAATTACTCCCTTGCAGCCCTCTTGATGCAGTAAAGGGATCACTGTGGCTCGCCTGCTGCAGATAAGGGACATCAAACTAGAGTACCACCAGTGCTCACTTGCCTGTGATGGTCTCCCTGCTGGAGAGGGACCGCTTTGCAGAGGCCAGGCCCATCTGGGAGCTCATGCTGAAAATGCATCTGCCGCTGCCTACGTTGAAGTATTTTCCTTTTCTCTTTCTTCCACACCAGCCCACAGATGGCAAACCTGTTCATCCACAAAGTGCACTCCCCTTGTATCCATTGTACTGACTTAACTTCCTCCGCCCAAGTCTGCATCTGTGTGTATCATCAATAAACTTGTGTGCTTTGATTGGCAAAAAGAGAGAGACATGGTCCTTGTCCTTGAGCCTGCAGTCTGCACCAAGAGAAAGGCCTGCATGCACAATAAACGCCAGCTGACCGGGGGTGGGGGCTGCTCTCTGACAGATGCACACTTGTCAGTGCTCATAGGAGACAGGGGCAGAAAGGGGCGGCTGTGCTCAGCAGAAGCTCCAAGAAGGGAGATGGGGGCAGGGTCGACAGGTGGGGCACAGGGAGGCTGGGGGAATGCTGATGGAATGTTGAGTGAACTGGCAAAGACAGCACTCTCCAAGCAGGACACAGTGGTGCCTGATGCAGAGGAATCCCGCTAAAAAGGTGATTGTGATTCCTTGACTGCCAGCCTAGAGAGGAAGGCCAGTGTCCTTGGTGTTTGTGCATTGCTTATGGTGGTGGTCGATGGTGGGGATTGTGGTGGGGGCAGTGGGGGAGGCTCCCAGTCGAGCATCCATGCACATCCAGTGCATAATTATCACAGTAAAGATTGCCACTTGCCCAGGGCCTACTTGACCTCTCTTTCCCCTGCAAAGCTGCTGTCAGACCTGCTTCCAGCCCTCCTCCCTGTCTTGGGAACCCAAGCACTGCTTCCTGGCAGGGTGAGAGGGTTGTCTACTGCTTCATTTGGGTGAAACTCCTCTCCTCCATGGCTCCCCTTGTATGTCGGGTGGGACCCAGGAAGGGAATAGGGGAGCCCTCCAGGAACTCCCTGTGGGGGTGGTAGGGCAGATGTGAAGGGTGCTTGGTGCAACCAGCCTCGGCCTATCCATCCATCTGGAACACCTCCATACCATCCCTCCAAGGTCCCTGCACCCCGGTGAGGAAAGGAAGTGCCCCTCCGTGCGTGCGGAACCGTGGGTCCAAAGGGCTGGCCAACTCATTCTGCCACACTGTCCCCAACATATCCAGGCCCCTCCCAGGAATCCTCAGCCCCTGTCGCCAAAGTCACATTCTCTGTGGGTTTGTGATGTGCGCGGCAGTGGTCTCCTTCCTCCGAAGCCACGATTTCCCTTGGATGGTGCTGTTTCTGTGCCCTGTGCCCTCTCCCGGAAGGTGTCTCTGAGATGCTGCCGTGGGTCACCGTGCCCTGGCCAGCAGTGGCCTGCCTGCCTGCAGGGTGTTCTGCCTCCTGCCTGCTGTCCTCCACACAGAACTTTGTTTCCTTTTCATTTTTTCTTTTCCTTTCCACCAGAGTTTGGTTGGGTTCCAGGTGGGTTAGAACTTTGCTGCTTGCACCGTGTGCCCCAAACTCTATGCTGACTTGGGCACCTTCCGGTTCTGCCTACCAACTCTGGGAAGCCCTCCAACTGGGAATGGGGATGCTGCATCTCCTCATCCTGCACCTGGGATGGCCAGCAAGAGACCTGTGGGCGCTGCCACACCACACCCCCATGGAGGCTCATCCCCACCCCTGACCGCAGGCCTCCTTGGCTAACCCTGGGGCCCTGTCTTATCTCCCAACAGCAGCTGACAGGACCACCCATTCCTCCCAGGTGAGCCACAGGTAGGCCGGGGCGTCCATTTGACAAGGAGGATTTCCCTGCAGCCTTCATGCTCTTTTCCCAGTCCAGCCTGCCCTGCCAGTGCTGCCTTCAGTGACACCTCCTTGCTCGGCCTCTACTTGCTCCTAGATTCTGCCTCAAATTAGCACGTGCCTCCCCACTCCTCTGCATGCTACCACATCCCAGATGCCCGTTTGTGCATAGTTGTCCCCCATCTTCTGGGCACTGGAGGCTTCAAGGCTGTAGCTGACTCCAAACTCAGAGAGGGCCTCGGAGGCTTCCTGCCCATCTCCTGAGCAGCTCTTTCACAGGGAAGCCTGCAGGCATCCAAGTGCCTCCACGTGAGGCCTCGGCCCAAGGCAAAACCTTCCTTGTCCATTTACTGGCACTGCCCTCCCCCAAATACTCCCTGTGTCTGCAGGTGCAGCACTCTGAACTTCCCTCATCCCTCATCAGTTTATAGGGATGCCAGGTAGGATCCCAGTTCCATGTGGGTTCTGTCTCCTCAGGGAGGCCGGTGGAGGGGAGTGGGGAGCATGCCTGCCACCCAGGGCTGGATCAAGACACTGAGAGGGGGGCTTTCAACTGTGGCCAGAGCACCAGCGCCCCCACCCCATAGGTATAAGCACAATAAAAACAGCCCTGAGCCACCAATCACAAAACTCACCTGTCTGCTTCAACGACAGGACACTGTTTCTGGGCTTTCCTGTGGCAAACACTGGGCAGGCTCATCCATGCTGGGCCTGCCAGGTACTATGAAGGAGGTGCCCTGTCAGGAAGGTGCCGCCCCAGCCTGAGTTGTCTCTTCTATAAATATTGCAACTGCCACCTCAGACTGCCTTCCAGCTCCAGAAAGGGCCCTGGTTTTGCTTCTTATTCATCTCATTAGGACCTTTCCATCGGGTGCCCGAAGCCACTGGCTTCCACGCTACCTATCACCTGTGCTTCCCCCTCTCCTGGGGATCCTGTGGTTTGAAGGCCCTCACTCCCACACCCCTGAAAGTGCATGCAACGTTGCAGACATCCAGCTTCCCCTAGGCCCATCCAGTGCCAGGTCCTGCATTCCCACTGGGCCCGATGTGTCACTCTCAAAGCAGTTTCCACCCCACTTTTAAGTGGCACACGTGCACCAGCACACTCATCACACACCAAGTCAACCCCTGTGCCTTAGCATCACGAGGCTGGGCTAACAGGTGGGCAGCTGTGGGCAGGATTTGCTCCTGCCCGCCTTCTAGAATTCACTGATAAGGCCTGGACTGCAGCAAGGCCCTGCCCCAGAGCCCAGCACACCCCTGCAGAAGTTCCAGAGCCCCGCCCCTGCCTGGTGGAAAAAGTGGAAAAAGATGTAATGCATGCATCTTCTCACAGTCTGCCACTCCCCTCCTCGCTTTGCTCATGGCCTCCTTTTCACCCAGGACGTTCATTTACACTGACTGCCTCTGTCTTTGTGGGCAGCTTAGGATGCCACCCCCACACACTCCCTGATTACTAAAAGGGTCTCCTTTATAGCTCCCCAGTGCTTTCATACCTGCCATTTCAAGTTTTGTTTCATGGGTCTGTCTGCTGGGCACTTCCTTTTGGGCAAGGTCTGCAATAATGAAGTAATTTGCCTTCTTTTCCCCAATGGATAACCACTAGTTATCCAGCACCACTGGTTGAGCACTCCATTCCTGGGCCACCGTGTAGCACATTGTGGCACCCTCATGCACCCAGCCCAGCAACTCCTCTGTGCCTTCCTGGCACTGAAGTCTCTCTTGAGGCACAGCTCTTTCTCCCAGGAACTCCTAATTGACTTGGGGAGCCTCATCTCCCTGGGTGGCCCCGGGGAGGTGGTGTGTGTGTGTTGGTGTGGGGGGGGGCCTGTGGCTGCCTGTGAGCAGCCATCAGCTTCAGATACCTTCTCAGATACCTTCTCAGATACCTTCTCAGATGAAAGCTTGGGAATCCCTGAGAATTTAGCACCATCTGAATCTGAGCACTCTTTTTTTTCTCCCAAATCACAGAATGTGTGCAAGACAAAACCAAGTTCCTGAATAGTGTTCTGTGTCCAATTATAAGTATTTTGTATGCTATAATATCATTCATTAGTATATGTGATTTTACATTTTCTTATGTAGTTTTGAATATTTCTAGCATGATGAGTTTTGTTTTTTTCCTCTTGGCAAGTATATTGAGTAAGTGAAGGAAAAGATCAATAGGACACTATTTTTGTCCTATTTTCTTTTGAGTGTTGTACTTATGAATGCATTTCCCATTCAAAAATAAATTTACTAGGAAACAGTTTTTATTCGTATGTAGAAATGTTATTGATATAGCATTGCCACTCTGCTGTCAGGCTCTTTTTGTGAACTCTTTTATTAATTTTATTATTTTTCTTTTTTTCAGGCTTCTCTAGTAGACTAACAAAGTTTACAAATTATGACAGTATTATCTCCTCCAGCTATTCAATAGTTCGTAGTTCATTTCTTTTACTTATCTCTCTACACTGTCAAGGTCCTCCAGAACAGCAATACTGATGATGCAGTGCATATTTCTCCTGTTTCTGATTTTAATAGTCTATGTTTCAGTGTAAGGTTGATGTCTGCTGCAGGTTTCTGAATAAATGATATGTCATATTTATATAATCAAATTTATAAAGCAGTAAAAATGAGTGAAATAGACCTGTATGTATCAATCTAGATTATTCTCAGAAACCTAACACTGAGTGAAGTATCAATTTGCAGAAAGATATTGTAAAATGCTATTTATATAATTATAATATCTGAGATGGTACTATATATTATTTAGTTTATCTGTATATGTATATATATATATGTGTGTTTATATATATAATGTATATTTTTGTGTATATATATATATATATATATATATATATAATTTTTAAATGGTCACCAAAGAATGCATCAATTTTGAAATACCAATTGCCTCTTGGAGGGGATGAAGCAAATGTGACTGCAACAATATAAGTAATTTAATTTCATTAAAAGAAAGGTGTATTGTGTGCCTGATACAATCAATACAAAATCACCTAAACATATCCTCAAAATTTTTATAACAGTAAGAAATGCAAGGAAATCCCAAGAGCTTCTCTGGGTAGAGGAAAGGTAATCTACCAATCAGATTGGCATCAGACTTGCTATTCATAATACATGATTCTAGATGTCCACATATTTAAAATGTCTTTACATCCTTACAGAATATGCCCCAACTCTATGCCCAAATACACTATCAAGCTTGTTTGTTTTGTCAATAAAGATGTTATTTAAGCACTGATTAGCACTCAAAAAGCCAATCCCCAGCACCATAAAAACAAAAGAGGTTTTCAGGACTGAAAGTATTAAGAAAGGTAGCAGAATACAACAGTTACTAATAGGGCATTATGTAAAAATGTGGATGTGTAACCAATGTGATTCTGCAATCTGTATTTGGGGTAAAA